TCCCAGTCTTGCCCCATAAAGTCCTCTTTTAGCCTCCTTACAGCATGTTCGTTCATCACCCTCCTATAAAAAAGATTTGTTTTTGGCCTTTCTTTTCTATACTGGCAGTCATAAACCAAAAATACAGGTAGATGATCACTAATATCATTTATAAGTAATCCACTTGACATTTTGCTATCAATATCATTAGTAAATATATTATCTATTAGTGTTGCATGCTGGGTTGTTAATCTACTTGGTTTTGTAATTTTTGGGTATAAACTGCATCTATATAATGTGTTAAACTCCTCAGTTCCTGTGTGCTTGTTAGGATTCAACAAATCTATATTAAAGTCACCACATATAAACATTAATTTATGACTCATTGACGAGTAATTTTCGTCCAGGCAGTCATTAAATTTTTCAGTGCTGGCTCCAGGTGCTCTATAGATACAGCTTATTACAACATTCTTCGTTTTTTCCAAAAGTAGTTCTACAGTCACACATTCTAGTAAATTATCTACTACCCTTGATATTTTCTCCACTCTATTATAACAAAAGTTTTTATCTATGTACAAGGCCACACCACCTCCCATCTTATTCTCTCTGTTTGTCCATACCAAGTCATAGCCATCAAGGTCAAAATCCATTCCCCTTACATTATTAATCCAAGTTTCAGAAATAGCAATTATATTAAAAGAATGTTTTAGACTACTAAGATAATGTTTTATACTCTGAAAGTTTGCGTATAAACTTCTGCTATTAAAGTGAATTAATGATAATTTGTTTTCAGTCTTGACATTGCTGTTAAACTGCTCATCCGTGTAATACTTGCAGTTATTTTCAGAGTTCTTTAAAAAGTTTTTTTCAGGGTCAAAATCTTCGTCCGGTTCATGATAATGAATTTCAGTATTTCCAATCAATATACCAGCGTATTTCTTCATACAGCTGAGGGTCCAGCGACCCCTTCATACTCTCCTTGTCTCAGCATACTGGTCCTTGGCGTGCTGGTCATGGGTCCTGGATTCTGGTTCCGAGGTCGGGTCACTAGTCGGTCATACCGCAGGAACGCGATGTCTCCCCTCGCCCTGGCCTCCCTTAACATCGGCATCAACTCCCTTCTTCTCTTCCTCACAGACTCGGTGTAATCTTCATTTATATAAATATTAGATCCTTTAAGCTTCTTTGCTTGTTGCAATATGTGTGCCTTATCTTTCTCTTTCATCAACTTTACCATCACCGCCCTCGGTCCCCGATCAGAAGGTTTCCCGACTCTGTGAGCCCACTCCATCTCAATTTCTTGATGAATTTGCAGTTTATTCTTTAGAATCTCCTTCACTTTACATTCCGCTTCCGTCCAGCTTTCTTCGGCTGTCTCCTTGATTCCCTCAAAGATCAAGTTTTTTCGCTTGGACTGTGCTTCCAAATACTCCATTTTATCCGTTATAGCTATTAAAGTCTCAGGTTTTGTAGACGTCATCCCTTGTCTCCTTGGTTTGTATTTTCTGTTCACCCATGGCAGCTTTAATCACATCCACCTCTCGCTGGGTAAACTGCAAACTCGTTTTTATCTCCTGTATTTCTCTGGTCATGTCGTCGAGTCTCATACTGTTTGTCTCCATAAGTAGTTGCACGAAGCCTTTGAAGTTTTCCTGCTGTTGGTTCATCAGCGCGATGTACATCTGTTTCTGCTGATTCAGAATGTCTGTTACTTGCGCCACTCTGTGATAATCTTCTTCTGCCTCCATATCCTTATTCGCTTCTGCTTTATTAGCTCTTTTCCCTCTTGGAGGCATTTTAATAATTGTAGAATTTGTTCAAAGACTTGAAAGTGTAGAAGATGTGAAAAATCGTAGAACAGACGAGAGGAGCAGTAAAGACATCTGCTCTCGCTTGCAACCCGGAAATCTCAGTTCAAAGCTGGGATAGGCCTTTGGGGGGAGAAGGCAACATTTTAGAGTTGACTTAAAGATAGGTGCCAAACCACCCCCTCTGCCAGTGAGACGCAGGGTGCTAAAAAAAAAAACAGTCAGCTGGCAGGACCTCAAAGAAGAGACTGTTTACCCCTTGTTTCAGCCAAGTTTCAGTAGTAAAAAGCACATCTAGTTCATGAGTAGAAATAAAGTCATTAAGAATAAAAGTCTTATTGTTAAGTAATCTTGCATTGAAAAGAGCAAAGTGAAGCGAACTTGGCTTATCCTGTGTGAAAGCGGCCCGAGTCACTGGGCGAAGGTTGGCCTGAGAACAACGCCGATCCAGTCGCCTTACCAGCCGGCAATATGGGCAATAGGACTCGGCATCTGGGCCAACCGGTCGAAGGAAGCAATAGCTATGGACCACCGCCCAGCCTGAGCCATAGTAGCCGTGCTCCAAGAGGTGGTCAGTCAGCATCGGTGTTTTTAGGAAGGATTTCAATCTGACGTGGAGGCCAGCTTTTCTGCCGCGTCGCCTTTGACGAGTTTTGCTCGGGAGAGGGCCCTCCAAGCGTCGAAGAAAAGGAGGTATGGAAGCTAGTGGTGGTAGTGGTCGCTCGGATTGATAGCTTTGGTAGATGTTGGAGCGACTAAACATAGAATTACGTATTTCTAGGAGGGACAGGCGATCATATACCAAGGTAGAAGAGACAGAGGCAACCTCAAGTATAACAAAATAGCAGATGCATAGGAGGAGCAGCCGGTAGGTCAGACACAGTGGCACCATCTTGTCTCCAGTAGAGCCAATACAAATTGGTTGTATTGTACAATTTCACCATACCTCCACCATTCAGCACGATGACTTACACACTTTAGAAGTAGCTGTCTTGCTTTTTGGTGTTTCCAGACTAAACTATCTCCAAACAAATGTCTTTTTTGTCAAACTAACAGCTAATGTTATTTGCCCAATCAGTTACAGACTAAAGTTGCTGCAGGTTTATGGTAAGATGTGGAATGGAATCTGGATCAGTGATGTGTCTTGTATTCAGTTATGTTATGTTACAGCGGGTTCATTGGTCCAGCACAAGTTGCAGACTGGAATATTGATCAGTGAGTGAACATCAATATTGGACCCGATACCGATATAGGATCAGATTGGGCCCATCTCAAGTTTGTTGTTCAGCCTTATGCAGATTCATTGACTCCTACCATTCATCTCTGTATATTTCCTCAGGTGTTCCTGGGACCAAACGGCGAGGTGGAGGAGTACTCTATTGTCTCTATCCAGCAGAATGCAGCCATCAGCTTGGACCTCATCCTGGACCAGGAAGAGGAACATCTTTTCATTATGACCCATAACATGGTATATGTTCACAGACAGATACACAACATACGTTGGCTGGGCTTGTGTCGTTGCATCCTGCACTGGATTAGTAATGCAGAAGAGAAATCATTTAGATTCTCATGCTTCTGCCCCAGTTCTCCCTTAACCACTAAGGCTGTTGTTGGGAATATTCTAATGACCTTGTTTTCATCTTGCATTGCTCCACTGAGGAAAGTGGGCCACCTATTCTTTTTAATCAGATTTCAGAAGCTTAGTGTGGAAGGTTTGCACAACTGAGCATTACTGCGTTGTCCTGTTTCTAGCTACAGAAGAGACCGGTGGCTGAGTGCCAGCAGCACTCAGACTGCCACTCCTGCCTTCTGGCCCATGACCCATACTGCGGCTGGTGTGTCCTGGAGGGAAGGTGAGATCAACTCTAGCCATTAACCCCAGTCCTGGATTTGTCCTAATCCAGCAAAAATAATAAATTACCTGTAGTCTGTGAATCAAGGCTTCAAATCAGTGATTGCCAGTTATGAAGAAGCATTGTCACTCTCCCTCTTTTTCTATTTTTGCATCAATCTCATTTGAAGATGTAATTTACACTTAATGTCTATTAGACAAAATGTATAATTTGAAGATGTCACCTTTATCTCTGGTAAGTCATGATATGCATTTTGTCTTTTTTTTTTTACATTGCTCATTCCTCTTTCATTTGAAATGTATAAAAAGTATAATATAATGACATGGAGTCTGTAACCCAAAACACGCTATCACAGAAAGAGCTGTTGAATAATAATAACATTGTGCTATCACTGATAAAGCCAGTGTGAGTGACATGGTCTCTGTTTAAGTAACAGACACAGTAGGTGGTTGCAGACCACACCCAAAGTGACATTTCTTTCAGTGCCAACCAACTTTTTGTAAACCAGTTTAGTTGCAGGAAAAAATCAGACCAAAAGCAGCCCGTGGTCACAGATGCTGGATAATAATAAGAAATGTAAAGTCGGAAAACTGACTTTTTAACCACATTGGAAAGCCATGAGATATGAAAGGCTTTTTATATTCATGACTCTCTTGCGTGCTTCAGATTTTTTTCAAAAAATACATTATATATCTCAGCTAAAATATTTGTTTCCTTTAGATTGACACTTAACTCCATACTGATTTTTAAAAATGTTCTATGACATCTTGTAGTGAAATAGTTTGTGTTTTTGCCAAGTTATGTTCAAACCTTAGTTTGCTCTGATGGGACTGTGTTGGAGCGTGATGAAAGACGTCGAACACTCCAGCCCATCTGTGTCTCCTCCCTGTCCACCTGGCCTACTATACCTCCTCACTCTTACTTGGCTCTTCCCTCTATCCTGTCCTAGTTTATGCCTTCTTTCATTTTCTTCCATATTTTCTTCTTTTTGCATTTTCTTCTTGTTCTGAACCTGTTTCCCATTTCATGTATTTTTCCGACTTGTTTCACACATTCCTTACATTATATATTGTATGTTTTAGTCCACCTGGCGTAAAAACAAGACTTCTCAACTATTTAGAAAAATATCTTAACAAGGAAGAAGATTGTGATCAGCCTTCCAAACTCAGTGTGATTAATGGATTTGCAATATACACTGTAGGACATTTATGGTTTATTTTAAAAGTAAATTTTATTTAAAAAAAAAAAAAGAGAGAGAGAGATTTAGGGCCAGTCCTGTATATGCTGTAAAAGTGCAGCCTTGCTGTTTTTCCTGCAGGTGTGTGCTGAAGTCAGAGTGTGCTCATGGTAACCACACAGGTCAGTGGCTCTGGAGCTTTGACATGGAGCAGCAGTGTCTCGCCATCCAGGACCTCAACCCCTCCAATGTCAGCCAGGACGAGAGCAGGATGGTAAGTTTGAAATGACAAACTCCAGCAGCAGGGGAGCAAACCAAAACTCTTGACATACAAGTACTTGTATTTGTCTGCATCCTTGCAAAGGATTTAAGGGAGCATGAGGGACTTTTTTTAGCACATTGTTAGCAGAAAAAAAAATCTGTTTTGGTTTTATGTTGACTGCAGATTGAGATAAAATGACATCCTTCAAGTGCCTGCAGGCTTTTGTTAAGAATATTTTGCAATGCAGAATGCACAGATGTCTGTGCTGCGGGTACAGTGTGGCCATGATCATATTCTGCCCGGACATGCCCCCACATACCAAAACACCATAAAGCTCAGGCCCACATATCGCCTCGCTCTAACTCATCCAGGAATCCCTTATCAGCAGAGCTGGCAGATGTAGCATTAGCTTGCTGGGGGTACTGCGTGTTGTGTTTAAGTGTCAGGGAATCTAGAGGAGATAGTGATAAGAGCCCAGTCCTGGTATAGTAGAAAAGCACATTATCAGTCATCAGTGTGCAAAATGGTGCCTGCGGGTCACAGCAGAGACACTAAATATATACACAATACAAACAGTGGGAGAGGATGGTTCAGGAACAGATTGTCTTTGAATAAGTCTAAATAAAGTGAGGGTTTAACTTAGGTCAGTCAGCAGTTTTTTGGTGCTATAAATATAATACAAGTAGCTTAACTGGTTACATGTCAGGTGGATTTTTTTCTGCCTATATCTAAGTATATTTTCACTCCTGGTAGTCTGCACTGTGGTTCTATTCAGACTGGCCACTGAGATGACTAATTTCACATAAAAGCGCCTTATCAAATAACATTTCCACCATACACTAACAAATCAAGTATAAAGAGTTAATGTTATGCCTTTCTATTCCCTGACTAGCACTGTGTAAACTACACTTATGCATGTGTACATGATAATAATAATAACCTAGGCAGATTTTGCATAGACACTGGACTGAATGTTTCACATTTTGGCAATTTAAAAAAAGTCATTTTTGAATGTAGTAAGCTGTATTTATAGAGCACCTGGAGCCAGCATTGAAAATTTTAATGACTGGCTGGAGGAGAACTATTTGACAATAAGTCATAAATTAATGTTTATATGTGGTGACTTCAACATTGATTTGTTAAATCCTAACAAGCACACAGGAACGGAGGAGTTTATTAACACATTACACAGATGCAGTTTATACCCAAAAATCACAAAACCAAGCAGATTAACAACCCAGCATGCGACACTAATAGATAATATATTTACCAATGATATTGAAAGCACAATGACAAGTGGATTACTTATAAATGATATTAGTGATCATCTACCTGTATTTTTGGTTTATGACTGCCATTATAGAAAACAGAGGCCAAAAACTAATCTGTTCTACAGGAGGGTGATTAATGAACAAACTGTAAGGAGGCTTAAGGAGGACTTAAGGGGGCAGGACTGGGAAGCAGTGTACAGAGAGGAAGACTTAGACAAAGCATATGAACAATTTTTAAATATATTTAAGGAAGTATATGACAGGAACTGCCCTCGTAAGCAGTATAAAAACAAAAGGAATTACAGTGGGAAACCATGGATAAGTAAGGGATTACAGAATGCATGTAAAAAGAAGAATGCATTATACAAGGATTTCATAAAGGACAGATCAAAGAAGGTGGAAGAAAAATATAAGGCGTACAAAAACAAATTAATTGAGATTCTGAGGAGATGTAAGAAACAATATTATTCTAAACTATTAGAGGATAATAAAAATAACATGAGAGGTACTTGGAATATATTAAATAAATTGATTAGAAATAGTCCCAGCAAGAGTAACTACCCCCAATACTTTATGGATAATGATACACCGGTCAACAGAATGGAGGATGCAGTTGATAAGTTTAACAGGTTTTTTGTGAATGGTGGTCCTAGTTTAGGAAGAAGCATTTGTACAGATGATACAGCCGTCACTAGAAATAATAATACAATCGAAAGGAACATGAGTTCTATGTTTTTGAAGCCCATAGTTGAAAAGGAAATTATAGAGATAGTGAATAAATGTGGTAACAAAACATCTAGTGATAGTGATGGTATCACCATGACAACTGTTAAATGGGTAATTGAGG